TACTATTCAAATCCCATACGTCAAAGTCTCTCAAGTTGGTTATATTATAATGCAAGGTCAGATAAGTAGCTTACCTGCTTTCATAATTCCTTTTGTAAGTTTCTAGATCAAGATCAACATCAACTTAGCTGTTTTTTAGTCAACTTTGAAACCAAAAACAAAGAATTTGATTATACAAAAAGATACAATACATGAGAGACAATGCACACTAATCAAAGATCAGTCGTTATTGTGTTTTTATTACAAAAGATCAATACTTTGAGAAAACAGAAGAAAAAGAAAAAAAGACTGTAAAATGAATCATTTCTTGGGTTGGAACTTGGATTTGATGTGTTTAACAGTTCCTGAAGATGTCTGAAAGGCCTGAGCCAAGACGTTATCAGGAACAGGAGGAGTAGAACCAAAGAGAGTAGCACCAAGAGATTGAGTACCAGGAAGCTGACTATTGAAAGCTGCAATAACAGAAGCAGGAACATTGCCATTGTTCTTCTGGAAATGAACAAGACCTTTAGGAAAAGCAAAAACATCTCCTTTCTTAAGAGATTGAGAGATGAGTCTATTAGCAGTCGTTAGAAACCCAACGTCGAGTGTTCCTTCGAGTACGAAGACGATCTCAGTGGCTCGTGGGTGAGTGTGAGGTGGGTTTAAACCACCTGGTGCGTAATCGATACGAGAGAGAGAGACGCCGAGTGTGTTTAGACCTGGGATTGTCATAACGTTTGCTCCTGTAACTAAAGAACCGAATGTGTTGTTTGTAAGACCTGGGTTTGCTAATCCTTGTGAGAAGAAATCGGATTGTGTCACTGAAGCTGTGTCTTTACAAGGGAAGCCATTGATTTTGATTCCTGCAAAATAAAAATCGAAGCTTTTTATTATTAAAGGAAATGGAAAGATGAAATCTTTAGTTAGGGGGTTGGTTTAAATCGGAGTTATTAATTACCGGAAGAGAGATCAGCGACGCAGAGATCTTGGAGCATGTCGGGATCTGCAGAAGCTGTAATGA